TATATATATATATATATATATATATATATATATAAATTGTTGCACATTGTTACGAAGGTTTGGCACATGCCAATTTACATATGTATTACTAAAATGCATTGTATACCTATTATATAGGTGCTTATTTATGAATAATGTAACCGATAATATACGAAAATGGGCAATTCTTAGAGTTTCATCTAATACCAATTTATCCAATATAAGGGATAAAAAAAAAGAAAATAAAAAAATAATGAAAACTTTTTTAGAGTTCCATATTATATTAAATACTTGATTTTCTTCTCTATATCTCTTTCCTTTGCTTGTTTTGTGAATAGACTTATAGTATTCCCAATTGTCATTTGTCAATAAGAAAATTAAACCTTAACTTAAAAAAAAAAAGAATTTGTCTAGCGAAGCCTTCTTACAACATATTTTAGCCGGTAGCTCTTTTAAAGGAAAAATAAATATATGCCATAATAGAAAATGTATCTTATGAAAGATAAAGTCTTTTCTTGCAATGTAATTTGCTGTAGAGTCGAAGGAAACCTTTCTAGTTTATAGTAAAAGCAACCAATATTGTGAAAGGTCAACAGATTTATTTCTTTATTGTTTAATGAATTCCGAGAAAGGATCATAATACTTAAAATACGAATGGCCGGAGCTTGTGGAACGCGAAACACGAATCGACGAATATAATTTATAAAAAAAATAAACAAATTAATTATATATCATTAAAAAAAAAAATTTAAATATAAATATATATTGTGTTCTCAAACTCACACGTATATATATATATATATATATATATATATATATATATATATATATATTTAGATCATAATACAATGTTATGGAATAATTATTTTTATTTGCTACAGTTAGGAAACAATATTCAAAGTATACAAGTATTATTGTAATCTTAAAAAAAAAATGTAAACTGTATACAATTAAATGCTTTATTTACTATAGAGCTAAAAAAATGTTTTTTTAAGCTCTCTTAATATAAAATGGCTGAATGGCCCAATTCATGCGATCGTGCCGATCTTAGGGACAGTACCAATTGGCGTCGCCAAAAAATGGCTTAAACTACTTCATGCATCAACATACTAATCATGCTCCGACATACTAATAATGTGAAACCTTCACAAATAATTTAAAAAGCAGAAATAAAAAGTGAAGCGTTATTTATTGACAAGCATTTGTAAGGATTAGTGGGCTTTAGCTTTATATGTAATTTTCCATACTTCGAATAGACAGATCGTTGAATGGAAGCGATAGAATATTGCCAGTGGCATTGAGATATGTGTGATAATTGTCCAGCCCCAAATACCGAAAAACTCGAGATGCGTCTGCCGAAAGACAGCCCGACCTTTGATGAGGGTGTTAACAAACCATATAGCAATGTTAGCGACCAATAGGAAGGTAATAATTTCGCGGCCGGGCTTGCGGCGCACCTGCTTAGAGCCTTTGCAGCGCCGGTGGCTAGAATGCAGTATGAACATTGTCTGCAGTGATGTTTGCACAACTCCGAAGACCTCAGCAATGATGCCTTCGACGCGGTCTGGGACCGTATCCCATTTAGCGAAATAGCTGCCTAGAATGCTAAACATGCCGTACAGGTAGACGCCAGTTTGAGCAACAACTAAAAGGAGATTATCCAAATCCATTGAATGGTGCTCGTCGCTTGTGTCCTTGATATATCGAAGATCACGCATAAGGATCATGCCTGCCAAGAAAATAATGTTATTTAAGAGATCAGTTGTTATCATAATTATCACCTACCGGTAATTACCGCGGAGGCGCACATGAAGTACATGAACGTCTCCCAGAGTGTTACCTCCTGGGTGGCGATTAGCTCGTAGCCGGGTTGCGTATACAGCACAAAGTACATAATCATTGATATAATAGTCATGACAATGATGAGTATTCCGAAGAAAAGACCCTTATGTGACTGAGAGCAGTCGACAGAGAAGTGATGGGCCGGCTTTTGCGCGATGGGCTTTATGGAGTTCTTGCGTGTCTTGTCGATGTCCGGTATGGACTTGACTGTCTTCCACATTTCAAACAGAATAACTGCGCAAATCAGAGAGTATTCAATTGTACATGGAAAAAGAAACGGGGACAGCTGCTGAACTAAAGCACCCATAATAGTAGTACGGGAGCATCCTGAAAATGTTGATTGTGTTGGCGTTGCTACTGTTGTGAGGTTACTAATAGTCATATTGACTAGTATTTTGTTTATCGTGCTTTCATTAGAATGGTTTTGTATTCTTAATCCAGTGTTGAGTGGTCCGTGAAGGGATTGATTCAGAGCCGACCAGTCAGGACCGCCATGAGTTCCGTTGTGTAAGACAGGATCGTGGCCTGGATCCATATCATGGTGGTTTATGTGAAATATTTCGTGTTTAGTTTCTTCGACCAGAACATATAACCATTCACACAAATTTGTGGCTACCATATGCATGAGTCCGAAACGCGAGGTTACCTTGTGACGTGCCATATCCATATATGTTGTGTTGAGGAAGATGAATTGCACCTGGGCAATGCAGAGTACCATACGGCAGATTGGAGTAATGGCTACAAAGACGTCGTGGCATCCAGGGTGTCCATTCAGTTCGAAGAATTGACCGAATTCCAGCCCCGAATACACCATTGTACCGATGGCGAAGGCGATAGCACCAACGCGTAGATAAAAACTTCCGAAGTGAGTCACCTTGTGCTTAAGGTGTATGTTGCTGTTCTTCTCGTCTAATGTTTGGAAGACAATATTACTTCGATTTGAATAATTATATACACATGTTCAAAAGGAATAAACGAATCTTCTTACTGAAAAAATCCAACTAAAAAGAATAATGAAATCAGAAACAGCAAAAATTTCACTTACGAAAATCCTTTAGGGCATTGAAGAGAGAACGATTACGAAATGCGCTTATATAAACAAATACAACAAATAATATGCTTCCAGCATATAAATAAACATAAAATCCTTGATAGACATAGGTTGGTATTTGATCTGAAATGACCTCCGTAATGGGAAGGCAGACTCCTAGGAGCACTAGTAGCTTGCAATAGGTCGCAGAAAGTGCCGAGCTGATAGCATCACTATAAGACAAACGATGTATTTACAATGGTTAACGATGATATTCCAAATGAGCTCTTACTTGCCGGTTCTCCGGTTTTTTTCTTTTTGTTGTTTGGCCTGAATGCTTTTTGCGCCGCTGTCGTAGTTGGCGCTGGAACCATTGCGAGCACTTGCTGTGCCGCTGTGGAAGTTGATCGTTGCCGTACTGCCGGTGGCTGTTCCATTAGGATTTCTTTTATAAGAATGTAAAAGTTGAAGAAACAAGAGGAAATGTTGTTAACTATTATGATAGTATATTAACGATTCTCTGATATCTTAATAATATAAAGACCGGCTGTACCCTGCATTTTTGGAGCTTCGTGGATGAAGAAAATTACTAGGATCCTTGCGTCCAATGCCGGGAGGTCGGTTAGTCAGGATCTCCTGTAGCAATATCGAAGGACGTCGCGATACCTGAAGTGTGTAGGCTGAATCATCATGATGTATAGCTGGGAGGGGCAAAAGAGCCTGACGTTGACTGCCATGTTCCACGAGCTCCAAGTTTGTTTGCGATTTCGCTAGTGGCGATATTGGGTGTGACATAATCGGTATGTTATGGTAACCACAATTGTCACATGCGGTGCGAGCGTACCGTTTCACGGAGTTTGAGGTAGCAGATATAGTCGAGTTGTTGCCGGAATGAGGTTGACTATCCGGTGTTTGGGTCGTTGCAGGCGTTAGTCGAGAGAAGGATATCGATTTTTTTGGTTGCCTTATTGTGATATATTCGCAGCTAAGTACTTTATTTCTACGTAAATTTGGAAGTCAGCCTTCAAGTACACACTCTCAGAGCCAAAATCAGTGTATGCTTGTGCTTAATATGTGCAACTCTTAGCTCTTTTCAGCCTAGAGTTTGCAAAGCAACTGAAGCTACGACAGGCCATCTGATGACTATGGACAACTGTCGACTTCAAAATGTGGGTAACGTGAAGACTACAGTTGGGCATTTGTATATGTATATATCGATCTGCTTCTAATTGGTTTGTAATTGATTTTGTCGTTTAAATTTTTTAGGTCTTAGGTAGAACTGAAGCCATTAATTAGCCAATAAAAGACCAGCACACGGGTGTTGAATTCTACATAGATATTACCCACTGATAACACACACCAAATGGGACTCCATATCAATAAAAAACAATTTGGATATGTGAAACTTTTTTTGAGTTTCTGATTTAATTTGCTTCAATTTACAATTAGCAATTTTCTATTTCTATTACTTTACTTTTATTTCAGCACTTATTTTTGTATACCCTGAACACATTTTCAATGGAAAATCAGAGTATAATGGTTTTGTTAAAACCATGTAACAGGCAGAAGGACGCGTGACAGACCCCATATGTATGTATATAAATTCTTAATCAGGGCGACGAGCAGAGTCGATTTAGCCCTGTCCGTCTATCTGTCCGTCTGTCTGTGTGGCTGTCTGCCGAAATTTACATTTGTTACATCTTGAAAGCTAGAGTCGCCAAATTTTAAATGTAGATTCATATATTAGACGAGCCTATCATCTTTTTATACCCTGAACCCATTGAAAATGGGAAATCAGGGTATAATGTTTTTG